TGATTTTTTAGGGACCAAAATGCAAATAAATTGCCAAATTTAAGGACAGTGAGAGAAGTAAATGATAGGAGGCAGAAATTTTTTCTTCAAACAAAATTCAGGTAAAGTTAATGGCCCTTCCATGTAAACAAGTGATAATGCTCCCAGTCCTCAGAAATACTGAATTTTCAAGTTGAATAGTTCTGTTCACTGCAGTTAATGAAAATGATATTGACTATTATTTACTGACTAAACCTCAAATCAAATGTAACAGCATGGAGAGAGAATAATATACTAAAAAACACATCAAAACGGTGAGAGATGTAATACCCAGAAAAGAAAAAAAAAGAAATCCTCATAAGCTTAATGCCATCCTCCATTCATGGCTGTCTATCCATTAAAATCAGCGATTGAGGGCTAGATTACTTGAATATTTAGAAGACAATTTTTTTTGAAAATCTCTCAAGTCCACTAGATAAAAAGGCTTAGGAATGAAGTACTTCCTCTCAAATCATATTCATATTGCTACTTCTCAAGCTGCATCATTGGCAACAATACAAAAAAATTAGAAAATAGTGTCATTAATTAGAGATCATAGAGGTACTCTCAAGTTCCCACACAAATTTAATGTCTGTTTATATTTTATGTAGGAGGTATGTTGCGATGTTTTTCTCTCCTTTGGCAATTATCTCCTCCGTAATGCTAAAATCCAGATATATCTGCATCTTTCATATCATTCCCAGAAATGATAGGAGAAAAGGAAGGTGTAATTTGCAGTCTCACAGTGACTTAACAACCATCCATTCGTATAATATCCATAATTGCAAGTCCAATCGTGGAGTTTGAAGAATCGAGGTGGAGTCACCAGGTTAAATAAGGCTAAATCTGCATGATTCTTCAAGAAGAAACCAACCTTCAGAGACTGAGAAGAACAAAAAGGAAAAATAACCAACCGTTTGAAGGCCCTCTCTCTCAAGCATCAAACTTGATTGAACATGCAGCTGCACTGCAGCATAAAACTGCTTTTCAGCAATGAGTTTTTCAATACGTCCTGGAACCTAAGGCACATTGGACATAGACAAGATAAATAACTAATAAAACATCGTCAGGTGGAGATACAATTATAGCAATAAATACGACCAGAACCAAAGGCACACTAGAAACAGAAAAGATAAATAACTAAAAGACAGCAAAAATAAGGAAAAATAGCAGCATTAGTAAAACATTGTCAAAGAAACAAGATAGAACAAGCAGTCAACAGACTATCATATGAAAACGAATACTATAAAACTTGTGGTTTCTCTGAAATGTTGCTCTGCTTCAAAAAGAATTTCAGTTAGTATGTAGTAGCAGAAATGGTAATAAGAAGCGTGGAAATTGTCAAGTTTTGCAAAAGTTGATCAGTTGTAGTTAGGAGAAACAATTTCCACAAAAATTATAAGTCTTCATTGAGTTAAATTTCACCATTTAGTATTTACGACTAATGGATGGACTAGGCCTATCAGAAGCACAGTTAGCAGCATAGCATGCTCTTTATGTGTAAATAGGACTGGCCTATTTCATCTTGAAAGTTTCATTGTGAGAAGGATGATTAAGGCACATGTTAGCATCCTGCCTCTCTTTCTTGATAAAATTCGTAGCTCACAACACATCCACAGTCAATAAATGAAAGCATATAAATGTGAGACTAAGAAGAATTTTTCATGAGTTCGAAATCATAATCTATGCCACATTTTCTGATGTCAATATTTCAAGCACAGCACACTGCATAAACTAGAAAGGGGAAGCACACAGGCTTACTAGGTATTACTGAACCAGTCATTATTCAAAAAAGAAAAGAAAAATAGTAGAAAACATATTTCTGCATTTTAGGTAAACTAGCAGCGCAACAAGTGCTTTAAAAATATTTTAGTTCGTCAAAGCCCAAAATATATAATTTCTTTCTTTTTCTCAAAATGCAACCTCCACAGCAGTCTAAAAGGCATGAGTAATCCTATCTTGTACACAGAAGTACAGAAAAATATTCAAAGTATCTATGTGAAATAAAACTAATGTAAAGAAACCCACCAACCTTAGCTATGCCCTCAATTTGATCTAATAAAGATATGATGTGCCGCAACGTAACAGATCGATACCATAATTGATGTAATTGCTTATTACGCGCTCCAAGAAGTTTTTTCGCCTCCGCTAAATCAACCTTTAAGACCCCAATATCTTGAGCAGATTCACTAAATAACCGCAAAATCTGCAGGAAAAAATATGTTAATAAAAATGCTAAGAAACAAATGGGCTGAGCTGATTTCCATACAAGAAAACAGGGGGACAAATTCTTTTTTAACTCTGAATAAGCTAGTTCACCAAAATGAAAAATCTCAAGATTTCAGATATATAGCTCACCATAATTTTTCACACTTTTTTACCATCAGGCAACCACAAATTTGTTGACATTAAGGATAATATTGAGAAAAACTTTACAATCAATAGCCCTTCACTCTAGCTCCGAAAGCTTAACCAGATTCACTTGCTCTTTTTGTATAGGAAATAGTACTTCCCCTCTTCACATTTGCATCTTTTTGCTTTTGGGAGTCTGGTTTATGGCCCCTTCCTCTTCTTGTGAATTTGATTTTATATATATAGTCAAGTAATTCAAACCCCCATCAGCCTTCCCTGGTGCAGCCTAAAAACCCGCTGAGGTTGTGTTGGTGTTTTACTATTAAAGATAAATAAATAAAAGTAAAAAATAAAAAAAAATGGTCCAAGAATAGAAGAGTTTGGATAGGGAAAAAATGTCTTGTTAAAGACTAAAAATATAGCTATGGCTTTACATTTCTAGTGGTCTTATAATGTATAGTTAAATCCGAGTCGTTGGCAAATTGACACGTGTTTTTGTTTACAAATTTATTTTCTTGAAGAACCAATCATGAAGACAGCAGTCTTCCCTCACTGTATAGGTAACCCATCCACATGTCAGTAACACATGCCAAAATAAGTAAGAAAATCTCCAGAAAATTCAAAAGATTTCTTAACACGTGCTCAGATCCAAAAAGAAAATTTTCCACATCAGATATGATGCTTTCTGGAAGGGAACATAAAGAATGAACTATCATGAAACCTGAGAATAATTTTGGATTGCTTTGTTGAAGCCACCATGATAGGCATGAACTACTTCGTCAACAACTTCCTCAATAATATCACTCTGCTCCTTTAAGATCTGCACATCTCTTTCACGATCTTTTGAGGTCAAAATATGGACAACATGAGGTAAAGAATCAAAACGCGCAGCAGCCCAACTTTCATCTATTTTGGAAAGTTCTTCCCTTAAGTACTGCAATTATGACAGAGTGCAATTAGAAGTATGTTTTTTACATTAACAATAACCCAACTTTTACAATAAAACAAAGGCATATACGTTCAGAGGATTTTCGACAAAGTTAGTAACAAATGGGAGTATGACACTATCATCAAGGTATGCTAGCATAAAGTGCCAGGAATGACAGAAAATTAAACACATCCTCCCAAAAATTTGCAAAGAATATAAAGGGATGTAGGCCCAGACAAGTTTCAAAAAGTAAAATTCTGAGAAGAAATTCACTCTCAGTGCCAGCAAAATTTCTTGAGAGGATTAGTCTTTCTATAGTCCTATGTAGTCCACTGAAACATTCTGCAACCAACTCTTTTACAAGGTACACAGATAAATAACAGCCTGCCATCACTAATTCACAATTTTCCCTCGGCCATCTCAAGTCCTAAATAGCAAAAAATCATGCCATATTACTAATTACTATCATACTACGCGATCAAGGAGCAATGATTTAAAATCCTAGCATCAGAAGGCTGGCTACCCATTTCACTGATCTTGACTTACTAAATGTTCATCTTCCCAAAAAATACCATACCAAAAGAACTAGACGACTTCAGGTCATTGCTGTCTTATTCAGGTTCTCTTAAGATCAGTTAGGAGAGAAACTGAAAATTGAGGGCTTCAGTTTAGAGCTCAAAATTTGAGCTAAGCTCAGGCACCAACTTATCATGGCATCACCGTGACTTGACTTCACAACACAAAACAGCATAGGAATAGCTCTGTAATTTTGTATTCCTCTCTCTCTCTCTCTCTCTCTCTCTCTCTGTACACACAAACAGGGGAATAAGTACTTCATGACTTCAATTCGGTATTCCAGACTCTCAACCATAGACATGCCACCTACAGTAAGATCTTATGTATGCCACTAATAGTAATTGCAGATAAATGGTAGTTCAATCAAGTTGAATTTCATTACTGCAATAGAGAAGATCCGGTAAACTGACAAACGATTATGGAATATTGCCAACCTCAACTAGCGAGCATTTATATAGACACTAGATTATGTAGAACACAATTTTAAGCTTAGTTTCTTAAGCCTCGTGAATAACTCACAATAGGAGCTTGCTTGAGATCAACCTGGTTTAGTAAAGAAGAACCCAACCTGAGCTACGGCGTGAATCTGAATAAATATACTGATTTTCAGTTTCAATTGAGTAGACAGCATTTAGCACCCAAAGTACCCCAACATATTAGTTGTACCACAACTTTCCTTAAAGCACCAAGCATATTAAATAAATTAAGGAAAATACCGCGAAGCTCAACTAGCATGCATACACTAGATTGTTTAGAAAAATAAATTCCAAGCTTAAGTTCTCAAGCCTCGTGAGTGGCTGGCATTAGGGGGGCTCGCTTCAGATTAGGTAGGATAGAAAACAAAATCAAACCCAAGCCGTATATTAAATATATAGAATATATAAATTAGGAAACCTTAAAAATAACAAGAATTCAACACCAACCCACATTTAGCCATTTACCCTCATGCACATTCTACATAAACTATTTACTCTTTAGTCAATTATCATCCTATAATTTCAGTCTATTCATGTAAACAATGAAAAAAAAGACAAATGTTAACAGAAAACAAAGTAAAAAACTCACCGATTTATCTCGGGAAATGGGAAGTCCATCAAAAATTCCCATCTCTATCCTATCAGTTTATTCACAAGTCCTGCACAACCACAATTAAGTAAATTCAGAAGAAGAAAAAAGTGGGCAACCAAATTTTAATGGTTGGAGCTAGGATTACATTAGAATAATCGGCGGAATTACATGTATAGATACAGATTGGTGTATATAAACATGCAATTAAGAGATAGAGAGATAACGAGCTTACTGGATCTGTCAGGCTGAGTTTATCGAAGCGGATCGGAACACTTACTTTACGATTGAATTAATAAGTTATTTATTTTGGGGAATTTTAATTATTTGGCAGAGAAAAGGTCAGGTGAGCTGGAAATGAGTTCCGAATTAAAAGAATGGTCAAATTTGGGAAATGCTTAATTAGCAAGTAACGATCTTACTTTTTATTTTGAAAAATGTTTTCTCTATCAATTTTTTTATTTTTTTTTTATTTTCATCATTATTTCCACATTTCATTTTGAAAAAATGTCATTTTCATCTTTTTTTTAATTAAAATTTATAAAATGACTAATAAACCCTTCTATTTAAATAAAACAAAAAGAATAAAAAATTAACTTATTGCAACCATAATCACAATTTCTTTTAAAAAGTAAAATAAATCTCAAATAAATTAGTAAAAGGGTAAAAAGCACATCATATCCATGCATTTCACTATTATTGTAAAAAAAAATGTCCCTACCTTTCATTTGCACTTTTAATTATGCAGCAATCATTTCTATCCAATTTCTCAATAAAAAGATGTAAAATGACCAATACACTCTTCTCTTTATTTATTTTTTTAAATAAAGAACTAATTGTAGTCAGAGTCCCAATTTTTTTTAAAGTGCAAATTAGTTCCAAATAAATTATTAAAAATTATTTTTAAAAAAAATACAAACGGGTCCCAAATAAATTAATAAAAATATAAATTAAAGAAAAAATTAAAAAAGCGTAAACGAGTCTCAAATAAGTTATAAAAAAATTAGAAATTTAAAAAAAAATTCTTTTTTATTCAAATATGAGGTATATTCTTCATTTCCCAACTTTTATTGATAGATGAAAATGAATAGAAATAATGGTTTGCAAAAATTAAAGGGGCAATTAAGGGTGAAAATGTTTTAAAAATGTAAGTTAAAAACGTTTTTCATGATAATAGTGAAATGTAGGGATATTATGTCATAAATACTCTTTTAATAATTTATTTGAGACTTGTTTGCACTTTTTTTTTTAAAAATGGGATTATAATTGCAATTACTTCTTTCTTTATCTTTTGTTTTATTTAAATAGAAGGTATATTCATCGTTTTCACAGCTTTTTTTGGGAAAATGAATAAAAATGACTTTTTGCTCAATGAAATACGAAAATGAGAGTGAGAATGTCAAAAAATACGAAAAATGGATGATTTTCATAATAATAGTGAAAAATAAAAACGTTACGTGCTAAGTACCTGTTGACACATAAAAATTCAGCCAAAATCGAACAGTCCAAGAATAAAGCCCAATTGAAGGATCCCCAAATCGAATAGCCCAAAGAACGAAGTCCAATCAAACGAATTAGGGTGAAGGCACAAATAAGGGGCCCAAGAATGCGGTGACGTCATCGTCCAAGTTTGCGAGTCGCCCAGAATCTGAACGAATGGGGTGTCATACAGTCGCCCAGAGCTGTTATTCCACTCTCGCCCAAACCTTCAAGTCGCCCAAGGTATCAACAAATATAACGCATCGTGGTTATCAAGGAATGCAGTTATCAAGGCAATTGTTAAAGTAGCATTATCACGTTCCACGACTCAAGGAATTCAATCGAAAGCGGTTGAACGATGAAAGATAATGGCAGCAGTTAAGAGACAGTTTCATGACAAAATGGCCACTACAAAGAAAGTGGGAAGTTATAGGACGATCAAGCAGTTTTCAGGGTAGTTAATCACAAAGAGATCGTTTAGGAGATATAAAAGGGAGAAAGGACGCAAAAGCAGAGGACCGAATCCAAAACTCTCGAACAGAGAATATGTAATTTTCATTTCCTTAGCTTTTAGACTTAAACATTTTTCTGTAACTCGTGTGCTTGCGCCCCTTGGAGGCACGTTATTTTTCATTCCCAATTGTAAAGTCCATCGCCAATAAAAGAACACCCCTTTTTGGGATTTTGTCTCAAGAGGTTTCGTCCCTTACACAATCGTCTGACCCTTTTTAATTGTTAGCGACTTAACCCGCGCGAAACAATTTGACACGCCCGGTGGGACAGTGGTGTTAGGTGTTAAAAATACAAAAGGTGAAACAATATGCCTCAGAGATCCGACAAGGAAGGAGCAAGTCAGGGAGGAATCCAGTCTGTAATCGAGCGATATGAGGAGTAGCATGCCTCTCCACGAACAGATGGACAAAATCAGAGCAGTAACAGTCGTTACGAACCAATGACGGAGTTGAGTCCTCGAACCATGCGTGCATTGCTTGGAGAACTCACGCAAGACGTCGTTGAACAGGTAAATCTTCGAAGTATTCATAATATGGAAAGATTTACACAAAATGGAAACGCACACTATGACAATATGGCCAAACAGCTAAAGACGTTAAACGAAACAATGAATAAGTTAGTAGGCCAAATATGTCAACCGGCTATACCTCTT